ACAAATTGTACAGGGTGAGTCAACAAGAAAGTGACCTGCATAAATGATTTGTTTCATAAAAAGCAATCAAATTGTATACACCAAGTAAGTATGTCTGAAAAAAGCATGTTCTTCAACTCCTTTAACAGATTACATCCTTGAAAATGTAATTTTCAAAATGTTCAAAAGTCCAAATTTTGTGCTTGACTATATATTTCTTCTCATTATTATTGTACCGTCTATCTACATATTTAAGCGTGTATAGTTATGAATATCGTGTATGTTAAAGGTTGAGTCAAAATTGATCAATCAAAATTACTGTACTCACTACAACAACAAAAGAACCCGCACTCAGTTTGAATGGAACGAGAATAGAATTGAATTCTTTTAGTGAAAAATTGAATCAGCTTGCGTAGTATTGTAAATACATGTAATCCAGCTATAAACAGCATATTACCTTGCGAAACCAAGTACCATTCGCTTTTATTATTTGATTCCTAGTGCAAAGCATTGTGCGATGATAAGTTAACACACTGTAGTGTCTACAAGTTGTTCCATTTTTATAACACAACATGTATCATTTTAGTGTTATTTAAACATCTCTGTATATACATTGAAGTTAATGTATCCCAAATTGTACAGGGTGAGAAAACAAGAAAGTGACCTGCATAAATGATTTGTTTCATAAAAAGCAATCAAATTGTATACACCAAGTAAGTATGTCTGAAAAGAGCATGTTCTTCCACTCGTATAAAAAAAGAGTTACTGAAATTGATACATGCTATCAGAAGTTGTGCATGTTTTACTAAATACTAAATACCATTGGAAGCTGTTGAGCTGAAAGAGGGGACTTTATTTATAACTCGTGAACTAGTGGTAGTTTGCAGTAACACCATGTGGAAAATCTCTTTTGAGAAGAAGTGTAGTTCTGAAAAGAACCAGTTGGTAGTGAAGCAGCAGTTCACAGTTCTTTTCAGAACCACACTTCTAAAAAGAGATTGTCCACCTGGTTTTACCGCAAACCTTCACTAGTCCACACTACCACCATGCAAAGTTTCGAAACTGACTTAGAGTTTGTCTTGTGATATACTTTGGCACAGATTTTTTTTGTCGTAAAAGCAATGGCGCTTAATCCCTCCTTCAGAGGTTGACCGAGGTTCAGTATTAAGTGATACTTAGAAGCAAAGTCACAAACCGTTAAACCGAACGGAAAACACTTTTCACTGCTCTGTTATGAAACAAATTATGAATCGGACGTGAGTTGTATAGAGCTACTGAACATTTGCTGAGCAAAGGAGAGGTAGGCTGGCGGTAACCAGCCAAAATGTTAAAGACGGACAGGTGCTCGTGAAAGCCTCCCGGCTGCCTTGCTCAACTTATTTTTCTTTAGACGGCTTCTTGGGAAGCTTTTATGTCAGTCAAAGACTGCTGTTGAAGTTCTACCGGGCGGTGATTGAGAGTGTCTTGGCACAGTCAATCATCGTTAGGTGGGGCAATGCCACAGCCAATGACCGGAAGTGTCCCAACCGAATCGTTTGTGTTGTTAAATGGATCATTGGATGCCAACTCCCAACCCTTGACGCTTTGTAAAGAAAAGGGCCTAGACTATCATAGAAGATAATTTTTTTTTATCCAGCACACAATTTTTTGTCTAGCCCATTAGATAAAACAACCGATACAGATTAATGAAATCAGGCTCCAATCGTTAGCTGTTTTAGTTTTTTATCCAACAGCAGTTCGCATTGTCAATGATGTTTTATGATGATGTACCAGTATAGTTGGTTAGGGGCCCCTTTTTACTACTGTATTATATAATTTACTTTAACAAATTGTTATTATTATCATAATGTTACATGTATTTCATATTTTACTCTTTATTTGTGTGTGTTTTGAATCTCTTTCAGCCGCACAAAATGAGGCTCATTTCACTGTATATGCGGTTGTATTATGTTTGATAATAAAACAATATGATACATTAACAATGTTGCCACAACGACTACTCGGACTCAGTCAATCCAAGAATTGTCAATCCAAAATTATTTAGAATGTAAATGTAAACTAAGTTATCCAATTTTAAAAACCCATACTCGTACACAACTGGTAATCAAAAACGCCCCCCCCAAAAAAAAAACCACCCCACACACAGTTTGTTTTTAAAAGGTAGGCCTATCATTAGTATACAAAATGCAAATCTTACCAAATGAGTTATGACACTGCAATTTTATATTTGTGAAATTATGTCGATAAAAAAACTTGTATTGAATTGATATCAGGGTATTTTCTTACAGTGCTCAAAATGTTTAAATAAAATGACCCTTTTTATATCTCTTTAATAACAGCTTCTTTCCAATTCCGAATCGATGCTAAAAATTCATTATTATTGCTGTTTACAGCGTCTATATTGTACTTTATAAACAAAATGTTCCACAACATCACACATTTGCATTAACTTCCGTTTTTGCAAATATTTAACTATACTATGCGGCACTATACCACACTTACTTTTTGGTTGTTAAATGTAATACGACCTGACCATTTGATATGATTTATTTTCCAAACATCATTCTTACATTAATGAACAACTGGAATTAACGGAATATATAGCAATGAAATGATGAACGGAGGAGTCTGGCCGTAAGCCTGAACTAGGCCAGGTCATCGTGAGTAAACAATTACAATAAATTTAGCAGAAAAAAAAACACTTCAACTTAAATAAATAGATATAAAACTGAACTAATTGTGAATTATAACAGAAGTACATTAATAATATTACTAAGCATTATTATTATTTATTTACTATTACTACTATTATTTGTTCCGTTGAATTAATAAGCGAAACATTTTGAATAGCATATTTAGACGTAAAACAATTTTCTTGTAATATTAGACGTAAAACATTATTTGTTCTTGTAATAATAATAATAATAACAATATATATGTGCTTGGAAGGTTTTAAACAAGTACTTTTAAAACCGGCTTGGACGCCAATAATGGCCCTAGCCAAAATCGAGGGAAACTATAGGCGACCAGGCCCCTCAGCCGGTTTTATACGTAATTATTTTATACCGGCCAAGCACATATATATTCCCATTCAATTTATCTTTGTAGTCAAAAAATCAAGTCAAAAAGCAGCCATTTCCAACGATTTTGTTCAACAGTTTTACTTCATTTTTTTGAACACCCCTCTAGCTATGCTACGGTATGTGCCTCTCGCCATTAGTCTAAACATCTCCTTATAGCCATTACTTTTTTTTCTGCAATCAAGTATAGTAAATGACTATAATGCGCATGCGTCAGTTGGTACCGAAATGGTTCTCGGACTTTAATTCCCTTAAAAAGAACATAGGATAAACCAAACAATGCAAAACATAAAATGTTCGGGATTTCAGGCCGTAATGTCCCTTAAAGAATAAATGAGACTGGTAATATGGGACAGTGCTTCGTATCTGACTGTAATCAACACTGCGGCGTATACGGACTCATTGATAGTATTGCGCATGCCTAAGTGAAGATTGTGAACGTTCAACCAATAAAAGGGAAACTTAAAGGGGTAAGATTTCATAGGAGTCCAAATATGTTCATGTGACACAGAAAAAGTGTTGAAAACCAACCAGCCGTTGTTTTAGCAACCGTTGAAAACCCCCCATGTGACAGGCTCTCGACCAATAGGAAAGGGTAAAAGTCTCGGGTATTAGACAATGGTTTGAGGGGAAGCAGTGGGAATTACTGGTCCCTCAGTGTAGGTCAGCTTGACTACCTCCCGACACGAAGCAGAGGGAGGTAGTCAAGCTGACCTACACCGAGGGACCAGTAATTCCAACTATTTTCCAGAAATCAACCCTGCCGTATTCGTTTTACTACAGCTCATAAATATTTAGTAGGCTCACTGTCTTTTTAGTAGCCTCTCTGCCTTGTCGATAACGGCGATCCTAGATTTTGCATATTTATTCAGCACAATTCAAGTTCTTTGTCACAGTATGAAATAGTCTGGTGCCAACACACTTTGAAGTGTTTTTACTGTGGTTGTAACAAGGATTGCAACAACAGACTGGTTCCGTAAAGATTACATGTCAAAGACAACATGTCTTCGAGGCGGGTTCCATAGGGAATTTTGGTGCTACCAGAAAAAACTACCGCACGGCAGCGACCTGGATACTCACCGGTATGACGTCACCTGGGCGCATATCATTTTTACTTCCCGGACGCGCGGCGAAATTGGCCAATGATGCGCTTCAATTTGATCATGAATATTTATGAGGTGTAGTAATCATGAATACCGGTTTAAATACAGATTTTTAAGAGATATGTCTTAAAACGTTTTGTTTTCAACTACCGATTGATCTAAGAGGAAGGAGTGGGAAGAGAAACACGGATCTTTGATGTTTAACTGCAAATAAATAGTTAGATGACCATACTCTAAAAAATGCAAGTCCTTTGAATTCCCTATGTTATTCTGATGGATGTCTTTGTGAAAAGACTCGAGAGTGAAGTAGGCAATAGATCCCTTTAATATTTAAACATAATGACTCCGAGGTGGTATTTATATAACTCACGGATAGGGGGTGTATTAAATTTATGAAAAAGGGGTGCGTCGTGTGCCCTTGAGTTTGAGTGGTTTATTACCCTGAGCGATTTTTTTTGTGTCACAAGAATTGTATTTAAATTAGATCAGTTGCTGTTCCCCCATGCTAGCGCTTAGCAGTTGTGGTAAAGATAACGTGTTATATATAGAAAGTAGGGCTTCCTTTAGTAACATATCCATAAACAGCTAAGAAAGATAAAATGTGAACAGTCAGTTATGTATGTATATTATAACTTTGTGGTTATCGTATTCTTAAGGAAAATAGTCCTTACTTTTGATGAACTTTTTTACACCAACGCGTCCTTAACTTAAGTTACTTTTTGGCAAAGTTTGATATTTTTTATTATTTTTTATAAATGGCAAAAGCCACATATTTAATCTGACACATTCTATTTAAATGCATACCAAATGATGGAAATACCATCTAATGATCGAAACATATTGAAAACTTGGATTTCAGGGTTCGAAAGGGATTTTGAACGGCGCGGATGGGTGAGATAGGAAAAGGCCTGGGCTTAGATGCCCGTTTACGGCACTCGATACAACCAAATGGAGCTGGACACTATTTGCCCTACAGATAACCAAGAAGAAGGCCACCTCATACCGCGGTAATCTTGCCCCGTGGAGTTGACGGGATAGGAATACTCCCCATTCAGGTTAGTCGGCACGAGATCCACATTCCCGACTCCTCCAGTACAAGTCTTGAACCACCAGCCTCCCTTCAGCTGAGCGGCACAATTGGCGTTGCCATCGGCGTCATTGTCGCGATCGTAGGTTGAGAACGGCTGGCCTGAGCAGAAACGGACAAGAAATACGTTAAGAAATGAAAAGCACCGCTTTTTATTCTGTAAAGGCGTTGATATTCAATGTCGGAATAATGTTCAATGTGCTGTCACAGAACATTTTTCGACAATTCTCGGATGTGACTCAATTTCGATATAAAACCTGGTGCAGCAAACTGATCTTGCTTCATTTGTAAATGGGTTGAGCAGATCTCGAATCATTTGTAGTTTTAAATGAGGGAATGAAAAGTGCAAAGGCATTGTGAACAATCGACATTCGCAGCAATCAAAACGGACCAAAAACGCACCAATTTATGTTTCGACTTGTAAAAAGAAAATCCCTAGTGCAGGCGTACTTAATCTGTTTCACGTAGATTTAAAACCATGCGGTATCAAACATTATCGTACAGATTTTGAGCAATAAAGTCTTTTAAAAAATAAATTATTCAGTAAACGAACGCATGGAAAATATGGGTTTTATCGAATCACATTTTACACTGGGCACATTAAGGGTGCGTCGCCCGGTAACGCGCTGCCAACAAACGTTTTGCACGTGTTCCGTGCGCCAACAAGAGACGGCGTTTTTTGACAACTTTTTAGAGCCCCTTGGACGGGACACGACCACTGATCTCTGGGCCCAATATCACAGAGCTGCTTAACGGTAAGCAGAAAAGTCGTGCTTTCTAAAGCAGAAAATCATGCTGCTGCTTAAGCACTATTTCATGCCGTGAATCTGCTAACGGTTGCGCGTGCATGGAGATTTCTGTTGTTACATCACTGTTTTATTCTGTTCTTAAGCGTGCTTTCGCTGTGCTTACTGTAAACGGTTTCTATAAAATAGATGGAGGCTCGGTAAGCACAAAGTCGGTTGTTAAGCAGGGCTATGCTGGACACAACGCGTGTGCGTTCCGATTCGCGCGTGTATAACGCAGAGTACGCACGACTGATTTTATTCAAAATGTGCACACAGCCATGGCGTTTTTCCGTCAGGCGTGGTCGGTGTAATGCGTTCGAATGTTCTCCCGTGTCTCCCTAACTATCCCTTTCTTACCGATGAGAGGGCACTTTTGCACGAAGCCCATGCCCTTTCAAATCAACGCTAAATTGATGATGCTATTGCACAAATTTAATCAGCGGCGCCCTCCTTTGTACAATAGTAAACTAACAGACAGTCGTGCGCGTCAAACCGTGATTTGAAATCATAATTAGTAGACAGGGGATGTTTTTACAATCGAAAAATAACTTCATAGCTATTTTTGAATGGAACAGTTTGAGTGTGTGTAAAATCCCTACGCCGAGAGGTGAATTTGACCATTTGCTCATAGTTTGGATTTTATACATCGCAACCAGCTGGCCCAGGCAAGTCAGAGCCCTTGATCATTTGTCGATCGGTTGCACTAAGGCTACATTTGAAAGCAAGCGCATTTGAGTAGGTTACGACAAGCTCATGCGGGAAAATATTCTGTAAACTGTATAAACTACGTGCGTGTTGAAAGTAAATCCAGAATTCTACGAATTTCATCATTTTGTAAATTAACCATACCTGATAGACTCCTATAATCCGTATTCAAAATGTAGTCGTCACCCAAGATCTGGACTTGTCGAAAACGGGAAGTACCAGAGCTCTTATCTCCTTTCAGTGAAAAACGTAGTTCCCAAGTGCCTTCCGAGGTCAGCTGGCGTACTATCTCGTTGCCCAGCCAGAACTCCCCCGTCAGATCACCGAAGCCGTCTCGGTACTCGGCCCAGCTACGGGTGAAATTCACCGATCCATCTTTACGATTCTGAATCACCTGGAACAAATAGTTACCCCGAAACAAAGTTAAGTTATTATGTGGTATTATAATGCGCAACAGTTTAATGCTCCTAGCCCATATATATCATTGCAATGAACGCCACGTTATTCCAATACCACGTGGTACATTGAAAACGCGTGGTTCAGATCTTTACACCAGTTAAAAATAATAATACTAATTTCCTTGGATTGGACATTAATTTGGGAGACATTCCCTATAGACTTGAGCACAGAATTTTTGTGCCCTTACCCAATGTTCCCTTGACCTTTTCCCACGAATTTCGGTATGTTTACTAATTAGACACCAGCAACAAATATAATCTAATTGCGACGGTAAAATTTTGCCTCTAAAGGGGGCTGTGACATTAGGGAGAAATGAAAATGTCTCCCTAATGACCGATGTCTCTCATCGTGCGAAGAAACTACGATAACGTGTCTCCTTAATGGCACCATTACACGTATAATGATAATCATAATTTTTAATAACATACATTTATATAACGCCAGTTGTCTGCAAAGTTGTCGCTTTCTTTTTAAGGACAATTTTGTTGAACTCCACTTAGTTTGAACATGAATTGGAACACGATTGGAGAAACTTACAATGAACGACTGTTTGCAGGTTACAGCCAAACCGTTTGGGTATTGCTTTGGGTAGATAGTGACGACACCATAGGATATCCCGCCACCACTGTAGCTTTCCTGGCAGCCAGCATATCGGGGAACATCTACAATCAAATCAATCAATTTATTGACGATAAAATAGGACATGGCGTCAAAATTAGATATTGAATCTGGAGTGCACTCTTTCCAACCCTCTTTGGCATGATATGCAAATATATATCGATTGAAAAACATTTCTACATGGAAAATAATCACAGTGGAGCGTCACTTAACCGAACACCGCTACACTGAACATTTGACAATACCAAACATCGTGCTTGGCTCCCGATTGGTGTGTACAAAACGTACCGAATATTGTTGTTGATTCCGTTGGTTCAACGGTCGAGACAGATTGTCCAACGGCTTTTTTTATTAGCATTACTCCATTCACAGTTTTTGGAAATATTTACCTATAATAAAGCTATGTAAACCAGTTTACTTTAAACAGGCATGCATAAAGTATTTACTGTACAGTACGAGATTGTCAAAAAAAAACACGCAAAAACCCTATCCTGCTCTAAATTGCCGTTGCAACCAGGATATAACTTTTAAAATTATTCAAAGGACACTTAAATTCCAAAAGAAGACGAGAAAATTACGAGCAGCAAATGGTGAATATGCGCAAGTCTGACGTTACTTTCCAAAACGGAGATTTGTTTCCACAATAAGGTACCTCTCTACGCCTGTAAATATTTTGCAAAGTTTGCAACAAAATTTTCGATATTATTTTCACATGGATAGGTACCATTTTGCCGTTTTGGAGACCATGCATGCCTGTATGTTAGCATTGTGATAGGACGATTGAAATGTAACACATTGCAAATATTGTTTATGTGTTCTAACCGAATTTGTTTTAAATGAATGTTTCGGAGCTTTGATCACTAAGTTCTCCCTACCAGTCGAGCTTCGTGTGCTTGGGCATCGTTTACGTATTTCTCGAGCGGCTGCTTGCATCCAATGTTCACCAGGAAGTGGCTCCGGTGGTGGACCGAAGTAACAAGTCCTCAACCGACTCTCAACAACGACTGTATATGTATATAGCGGATGGAAATTGAAATTACACGGTTCATGCTATCACATTTTATAGGTAGGCCTATTAATTCACATTCATAAATCAAGGACAATATTTTCATAAATCACTAGACATTCATTCAGTAGCGGAATACTTTTTTGAATTCGAGAATCAATGTTTTCAAAGGAAAGGAGTTTGAAAATAGTTCGATTTTGTTTGTTTTTACAGTATTGGCTTCACTGTCTTGGAAGTTTAATCTCAGTATATCGGTGGAAATGACATCCACACAAATTCGAAAATCTAAGTTGTATTCACATGTTTGGTTTTAATCAGTGGCGTAACTAGAGGTGGGGATGGGTGCAGACTAGAGATTTGAAAAGTGAAATCGAGACGCTTAGAGAAGCAAATTCGGGAAGACCACATTGGCCTTTCTGAACAAATCGATTGCCACCTATCGTCCGATCTTGTTCATGATTGTTCTCTTGGAAGATGGTATCAGTTGGTGTGCTTGACAGGTTGTGAGCCAACTTACAAACGTATTTTCTTGAGATTATATATATCAGTTCAATCTGGTAACGTTATATAACCTAAATCCCTCCACTGGTTAGTCATTGGGTGAGCACAGTTTGTTTTCACTCTGGCTGTACGTAGCCCACGAAATGCCGACTTTTAGACCCCCCCCCCCCTTACGCACGGAATACTTAGGGGCTACACCCCCACACCTCCCCCCCCCCCCTCACCCGTACGTATACATCATTCATCATTCTTGACTGTACGTTTCCGGTGTACATGTACCCTGTACTGTACATGTACATTACGCTAAGCTTGTCGACTAATGTACCTAAGACATAATGACGTCACGCTTGGTTTACATGTGCGCTTTCCTATGACTCCATAGTGAAGCAGTACATTTATTGAATAATTTCGAGGTTTAAAGAGGTTGTGGAATGCTGAAAATCGTTTGTTTTTTATATTTTTATATTGTAGAGTAGACCCATATCTATATATATAAGAGAGAGTTTAACTCGGCCTCCGAGACGATGTTTGCTCATGAAAGGATCCGAGACCGCGGGCTCCCGCGTCGCCAAAATCGCTCCACGTCCGTGGAAAAATACGGAGGGTGTCTTCCGCCGGGTCGGACACTTCGGGTCGTCCTGATTTTCCCGTACGGACCGGCGATCCTTTTCGTCTATTTTTCGTGACAGCATTTTGCACAGGAATGTTCCGTCGTGTGCGCTTTCACGTTGACTGCCTGGCCGCCCCCTGTGCTGGCTTTTCTGCGAGTCTAGACTGTGCGAGGTCAGCGAGGTCAACGTAGGGGTTTCGTTTACGTGTTCTACTCAGCCGTACTGCCAAAGCGTTCACCAAATTGTGATATGGGGTGACCTTGGTAAAATATTTTTTCTCCATGGTGCGTGGCCACCGAGTGCCCCTATTCTTTCATATGCTTCGCTTGCCGCCCCTGCGCCGAGTGCAACGAATACTCAGAAGGACTACACATTAAGTATGCCTTGCGCGGTCTGACCAATCGAAAGTCTACACTGCGTAGTATATCTGGGCTATGCAAAACTGTCGATGGCAACGCGTACTGCAGCCTGCTCCACACCCTGGAAACGAGGTTGGGTCTACGGTGCTCGCTATTTGCATGATTTGAAGCACAAGCATGTGAGTGACGTGTATAGTGCTCTGTTGTTTCCATCGTGTGTTAATACAGCTCCATGCTTCCACCAAGGCTGAGCGTTGTGAGTTCGCTGCCCGCCACAGTGTTGCGTTATAATTTCGGGGGCCTGTCTGGGATCAACGAAGGATCGATGCATTGCTTCAAACATCGCGATCTTAAACGCAGTCACACAAAAAATCAACGAAAATGTGTCCGATCCGGCGGAAGACACCCTCCACATTTTTCCACGGACGTGGAGCGATTTTGGCGTCGCGAAAGACCGCGGTCTCAGATCGTTTCAGGAGCAAACATTTCTCGGAGGCCGAGTAAAATTTGCTCTTATATAGATGGTTGACCCAAGTTGAATAACAGTTGACTCGACAAGTTCCTCGCAGACAGTCTCGCAAATTGTAAGACGTTCAAGTTTACGTTTGTTGAAGAGTCCAATATACTGAAACTTAATTATGACCTTCTTAATCAGCCTTCGCCTGTGTACTACGGCAAGCCTTTCAAGTACGTTTTCTCACAAATGCCACTGCCTCACAAAAAGGCCAATTTAACAGACCAAAGGGAACATTTACAGACTGTTGCCATGGTACATAATTATCATGGGCGTCAATCGGTGGGGGACGGGGAACCCCTCCACCCCCCCCCCCCCCATTTTAAAGCGGTGGAGACTTTTTTGGTCCCCCCCCCCCACTTTTCTTCCCCGAATAAAAATTGTAGCTACTACATGTATAATGATTCCATTACTCAGAATAGCTGATTCAATGACACCAAACTCGAAAATGATGTTTAAAAGATGATCTTCGTTTTCCAAATGCGACTGCCTCACAAAAAGCCAATTTAACAGACCAACGGCAACATTTACAGACAGTTGCCATGGTACATAATTATCATGTGCGTAAATCGACGGGGGACAGGGGAACCCCCCCCCCCCCCACACACACACCCCCACATTTTGAGGGGGGACATTGTTTGGTCTCCCCCCCAACACTTTTTCTTCCCCGAATAAAAATATTGTAGCCTACAATAATGATTCTATTGCTCAGAATACATGTAGCTGATTCAATTACTCAAAACTTTCACAGATGATCTTTTGCTCAAATTGGTTTTAGTGATCAGAAATTGCCTCAGATCACACCACAGAAATTAATATTCTTTAACTGCATGTCTCACCAGCTATATCCCCCATTTACATTTAACTCCCCACATTTTCATCCCCAACACTACGCCCTACCCGATCTATGATCGGGTAAACCAGCTTGTATAGCATAATGACAAACTCCCATTCTTTTCTAATGTGCGTTTATATGTTTATAAAACTGAAATTCATCGAGTAATTTGTTGGTCGGCGAGCACATAATTGAAATCAACAGTCGTCGGGCTCTTCGTAAAATCAGAAAAAGCGTGACGTAATAAACAGGACTCGTTTATACAACGACTGTTTACTGCTGTCCAACCTGCCCCGTCAGCATGTGTGACTCGCAGTCAAGCAGTGAAAAATCAACATTTTGTAAAAGACTCGCGGAGATTGATATTCCTTCCCATTGCTTAATTTTTGGATGAGTATATTGAACAAGGACACGGTGACCTCTGAGATGTTCTTCCGTATAAATTTGAGCCCCAACTGCCCGAAAAAGAGACCAGCGAAAACACGGATACTGCAACTGGCCAGCTGAAAACGCCAGGCAACGCGGCTCTGATGAGTGGTAGGTCTGCGACGTTTGCGTGAAAAAAAAACAGCTGCGTTTTATCCAAGGACTCAAAGTATTATGTTCATGATAACATTTTTAGATGAGCATCAACAGTCCTACCGCAACTTTCTTCGTGATTTACAGACAATCTTAAACGTTATTCTGGTGAATATTCAGTCCAAAGAGACGACAAATCATCAGGTTGTTTTCGAATTATACGCGTACGGCACGCATAACGCATCACGGCAGTGGATGTGGTCGACCGTGTTCAGAACTAATGTTGTACGGTTAGCAGCGTCGCGGGCCCCGGTCAAGTTCCTTGCGTTGCCTGGTGCTTTTTATGTATACGTTCGCCACAAAAAATTAGTCCTCTTCTCTTTTCTTTCCTTGTGCATTTTATTTTTAACCCTTGTTTTAACATCCTGAAACGATAATTACGAATTTACTTGAATTTTTAAATTGTTAACTTTATTGTTTACCAAAAAAAAAAAGCCGTAAAACAACACCAGGAGACCATGGGACTACCGCTTCACCTCGGCCTGTAAACGTGGCTACAAAAAAAGTACAATTCATAAATCATAGTCATGCTCCGTTCATAAAACAAAAATCTCTGGACTTACGACATGTTCGGGATCCCGGTTGAAAACAAAATTCACTGGTCCCGAAATTTAACGAGCACTATCATTATTTTTAGTACCTAATTAAGACTTTATTCAAGAAATTCCAGTGGCAGAGAATT